GCGGAAAGTAGTGTGGTCCTTAATTAATATACTATGCTTTTAACCAAAAAAGAAATTGTAAAATATTAAACTCAGGTTTTTCTTAATGCAGCTCCACTGATTTTAATGCATGGCATTAATTTCCCCATCCTTGTTAGCCAACATACTAAGTTCTAACATAAACTAAGCCAAAGTTTCTTGTGCAACTTGTTCAGAAATCTCTTTTAAAAGGACTTCTCTACAATCCCTGAACCAGTTAAACCACCTCAGGTTCAACACAATGGCACTTCCTTATCAATACTGTTAGTGTTTAAAGGTAAATCAACTGAGAATGTTGCGGGTTATGGGGTATTGAACATAGACCTATTTTTATTCAGAGTAAAGTATCTGATTTTAGTTGATACAATATCTTCAAATGTTTAATCAAGAAAAATAGCAGTCAATCTACCTGCCTTGTTAAAAACGTATTTAGGGCATCACTCTGACTAGTCAAAGCAACAGTCATTAATTGAAGGTGCATGTAGTGATGGGATGGCTTTGTTAGTCTTCATGGCTGCGTCCAAGCAAGCGTGGCCGTGTGATACGTGGCACTACAGACATCAGCGGTGCCACATATTGCACGTTCCATTGTTCTCTGCACTGCAAGGGAACAACGTGGAGGGGTTTTCTGACCCCTGGATATCTAGGGGTCAAAAAAAACCCATGGAGAAAAAAAGCGGAGTGCACATGCGGCGGCAGCGTGCACCGCCTGAAGCCAGAGCGTGGCCGGCAAGAGCCACACTCCACTGCTGGCCAGACTCCCCATGGCAGGATCGTCGCTGCAGCCCCACAAGGCCCTCAGGACCTCAGGTAAGGCGGCTGCAGCCAGCCCAGTGCTGGCCCCAGCCTCCCCTACTTCATCCAGGGTAGCTTGCCGTGCGCCAGTGGACACGTGGCACAGGCGTTCCCCATGGACAACTAGGGGTGGCACAAGGTGTGCTGCCGCTAGTTGTCCCTGGGGAACCAAACATCCACGCATGTCTGGACGCGGCCCGTAAATCTATTCTAGTGTTATAGTAGTGCTTTCGCATACCATTATGCTTACTGCTGTCAGAAAGTTATAGCAGCAGAGCTAAGAGGGTCCTCAAGAGGTCATCTACTTCCCTGGCCCAAAACAAGATCAGCTCTACTTAAACTATACCTCCACCACTTAGTCCTTCTTTATATATCTCAAAAGCTCCAAACTAATAAGCACAAGCTGTGAATGACAACACACGTTAATAGGCCTTAAACTGCATTGTAGCAATTCAACTGTTCTTCATGCTTTCACTTCTATTTGTTCAATCTATTTGTCTGGAGGTTTGAACACCAATAACATGTTCCAAGGATTGGTGATTTTTATTAAGAGATATCAAGTGCTCTGTGAAGGAAGTCAGCATCAACATCCTCATTTGCAGATGGGACAACTGAAGTAGCAGGAAAGGAAGTAACGTGCCTCTGGTCCCTCAGCAAAGACCAGAACAAACATCTCCCAAGTTCCAGTCCTGTGCTCTACCCACCAGCCAATAAGGCCTCCAAAGTGGGACAGTGTAAATGCACCAATGGATGTAAACACTGTATTCTACACCTGCAATGGAAAATGAGTCTATTTATATTAAACG